GTCGGTGCCGACACAAGGGGCTGACAAATGGGCTGTTGGCGGACTGTGTGTGCGCAGGTGAAGATGTCGTTGGCGCAGGAGAGGCAGATTCTGCATGCAGAGCCCTAAACACGCTGCTATATAACTTGCAAATGGGGAAAAAAAAAGAAGAAGAACATCTGCAGTTTCGATGGCTTAGATTTCCTCCAAAATAAATAATAAATAATAAATATATACAATAGGCTGCGCGCACCGGGCGCACATGCAGCTGGTCTGCGTGCACGCCCCAGCGCACCGGGGAGTTGCGCAGCGCATAGCGCACATAGGTGCGCGGTGCACCCGCACCACCTAATCCGCACATAGCGCGTGGCGCACCGCACTGCGCCGCGCACAGGCCTGCTGCGCTGCAAGTATGCTCTATACCGAGTCTATAGAGATATAAGAGAATGTATTACAAAAACGGTGAAAAACCCAACTTCACGAAAAGCAGAATCTTTCCTGAGAGTCCCGACAGAATTTCGTATTCTGAAATTCTTCATTCCAACTCCTCAAATTCCTCGGCTGTCACGGTTTGACCTGGAGCACGGGCCTGTCAAAACTGCCCGGAAGGCCACCCAGCCGCTCAGATATCCCGGGCGGGTTGCTGCGTGGATTTTGCTCCTTTGGCCATGGGCCCCCGTAGTATACCGAATAAATTAGGAGGTGTTGCTGCAATAGGTCTTGTCTTTGTTTCACTATTTGGCATTTGCTTTACCTTTTATTAACACTTCATATGTACGAAGTTCAACTTTTAGACCCCATTCATCAAAAACGTTTTTGGTTACTTGTGGCAGATTGTTTACTTTTAGGGTTTAGTTCCTCATGTCTAGAGCAAGTGGAACTGTGACAAGCGCAGGAACCGGTACCAGCTCCTCAAGCGGCACCGCCGGCAGTTCTGCACTGGTCATAGTCCCAAATGCAGGAACATCAGCCCAAAACGCCGCAGTCCTTACTGGCGTACAATACAGCGGTCCCGTAGTGGACAAGAGGGCGTCCACTCTGCCGTCCAAGCACGACGGGGCCGTCCAAGCACGACGGGAAGGGGGACATCACCTCTTGGATGTCAACCTGTGGAAGCACCCTATGTAACTATTGGACAAATTGCATCAGTTTTTTTTTTCTTATACTTTTTTCAGATCCCCGTTGCCAGTCTGGTCCACTGGGCACAGCTTCCAGAACCGAGAAGGGGTTCCCACCGAAAAAAAAAAATCCCGCGATTTTTGTCAGTCAGGGAGGCTGTTTGTGAGTGAAGCTACGACGATGCTCGTGTGAGTTGTAACATGAAATTGCGAATAATTATGTTCGAAACTTCGACGCTGTTTTCAGTCAGCGCGAGCCCATACATCCGTTTGAGTAGGTCTGGTTCTGTTTTGAGTCTGTTTGAGTCTCTGTCTAATTCTGTTCCGTTTTGGGGGTGTTTGAGGCTGTCACAGGACTGTTCGAGTCCGTTTGAGTCTGTTTGGGTCCGTTTGAGTCTGTCTGAGTCTGTGACGGGACTGTTTGAGTCTGTTTGAGACTGTTTTCAGTCTGTTTTGAGTCTATCTTAAGTCTGTTTGAGACTTTGAGTCGGTCTAATTCTGTTCTGAGTCCGTTTTGAGTCTGTTTGAGTCTGTCACGGGACTGTTTGAGTCTGTTTGAGTCTGTTTGAGTCTGTCACGGGACTGTTTGAGTCTGTTTGAGCCTGTTTTCAGTCTTTGTGAGTCTATTTGAGTCTCTTTTGTGTCTGGTTTAGTCTGCAGGACACTGCAGGTCAATTTAAGTGTGTCTGATTCTGTTCTCAACCTGTTTCTGTTTTCAACCTGTTTTGAGAGTGTTTGAGACTGTTTTGGGTCTGTTTTTATTTGAGTCAGGTTTGGGCGAAACCTGGAAAGAGGTTTACAAACAAAGAATCAGCCCGGATGTGGACAGAGCCAGGTGGGCGTAAAGGTGGGCCCACCCACAAAAAAAAAAAAAAAAAAAAAAAAAAAAAAAAAAAAAGAAGAAGAAAGGGGCCAAAGGGCTGCATTTTGCCTGCACGGGGTGCCCCGTGCAGGTGACTCCCGGGCCACTTGCCCAGGCTGCATGGCCATGCTGCACTGCTCGGTGACCCAAGTAGCGTAGTCAAATTCTCAAGTTCTCAACTTCTCAAATTCTCAAATTCTCAAATTCTGAAACTGCAAATTATGACACTAAATGTTTTGAAGATCCAAATTCTGCGATTCGAAATTTACCTGGAATGACGCTCGCAACATTATCGATGAAGTCCGCCTACAGCAAAACACCAAAAATAGCAAAGAATGGTGGTTGAGTTTAGCAGTTCCAAGCACTACTTTCTTCCAAAAACCCAAAATTTCTCAAAATTTTGAATTTTCAACTTTTTTTGTTTGCTCTCCTTAACAGCATACTCAATGTCTGGACGCCGTGAAGAAGCGTGTGTATGCCACTCTCTACATCTGCTATTCCCTCTTACGTCAGTCATCCCACATCCCCTAAATGCCTCTGCTGTACTGGGACTGGAGAACAGATCCCAATACTCTCTCTCTCTCTCTCTCTCTCTCTCTCTCTCTCTCTCTCTCTCTCTCTCTCTCTCTCTCTCTCTCTCACACACTCACACACTCACACTCACACACACTAAAACAAAGCCAAACTAAAGATAGAAAAGAAACGGATAGAACGGATCTGTTGTGCCCTCTGTTGTGCCCTTTGCTATAGAGGTAAAACCATAAAAGTGGTTCATTGTTGGATTGGCTCATCTCAAGTGTTCTTCATTGTCTGCAGTAGAGGTCAAGCTGCTTCAATTTTGGTTCTACTCATCCAGGTCAAAAACAGGGGCTGTTGTGGTGAAAATTTACAACACACACACACACACACACCCCTTTTTCCCCCATCCCCCAACACACACACACCCCTTTTCCCCCCATCCCCCAAGAAAGACGAAGAAGAATGAAGGAAGAAGAAGGAGAAGAAGAAGAAGAAGAAGAAGAAGGAGAAGAAGAAGGAGAAGGAGAAGGAGAAGAAGAAGGAGAAGAAGAAGAAGAAGAAGAAGAAGAACTGATGCAAGCCCTGTTCCAACCATGGCATACTCTGTCTACGATCCTTTGCATCTGTACTGTCTATTCGCTGCATGGAACAGCGTTTGGCAAACAAACAGAAACTATGTTCCTATCATTATATAGGTTTTCAACTTTTTTTGGTTCGGTCTTTGTCATACCGGAAATCGCGTCTCTAGCTTCACAGCACCATTCTGGCCAGTGATCTTCAGTCTCAATGCCCTCCCTCCTTTCGGCAGTCTCTTAGTCCGTTGCCGTCCCCTGGAGTCACCGTCGTCATCCCCTTCCGCTAGCACGATTCCCTCTACCACCTCCACCTCCACCGCTGTGTCGGACTCCTTACTCTCTACGGGCATGCCTTCCCGCACGTCTTTTTCAGCTGCCGGAGTTTCTTCCTCTGCCTCACGTGCTTCTCCTCCCAACCCATCCACCTCCATGACCGAAGCGTCTGACAAGTCAGAAAGGATACTGGCGTCAGACACGCTTGCCTCTGCTGCAGCACTCACTGCCGCTTGCGCAACAGATCCCTGAACAAGGAACAAAGGGCAAAGCACAGCACGGCACCGGAGGTTGCAGAGAGAATATTAAGAAGATGGAGAGACATGGACCACAATGCAATCTTTTTTTTTTTTTTTTTTTTTTAAGAGAATTTAATATTCAATATTATTCATCTAGTTCCATGTGGATTCGAACTCAGGTCTCATTTTTAACAGTGCCTGGGTGTACCAAGACAGCTGGGCAGGTGGGTGACCAGAATCCAACCTATTTCTTGGGCCAGACACACACTAGGGACATTCTGGGATGTATTTGACTGCAATCACAGGCAGATTCCGTGGAAAACGTACACGCTTAATTCAAATTAATTGTATGTATGACATTAGAAAGACCGAGAACAGTTGGAATGGATAAGAAAGTGAATGGCCATAAATAGATATACAACCACACCCAAAGGAAGAAAGAAAGTTTTATTTTTTACGAGGCAGCTTCCCAACCTTCTCAGTTGACACTTGGAACTCTACCCAGACAAAAGACCTCCACAGATTCGCCTTTTTTTTTTTTTTTTTGCCCGTTCA